CGGGCCGTCTCCTCACCATAGCTGCCGCCCTCGCTGCTCAGCAGGTTGAGGCTGTGCAGGTGCTTGGGGGTGGACACGGACAGGGCCAGCACGTCCCCGATGGCCTCGTGGAAGCCAGGGTTGGCGCCCTCCCGCAGGGCCACGGGCAAGTCCTTGTACTGCATGAAGTACTGGACGTGGCCCATCTCGTGGTGGACCACCACCAGGTCCTCCATGTTCACAGTGGTGCACTGCTTGATCCTGGGGACGGGGCGGAGGACGGAGAGGACGCTGAGGCCCCTGGGACGCGCAGCCTGCGGCTTCCCAATGCACGCTTCATCTCTCATGGCTGAGGCTTCCCGAGGAAACCACCTGTCTGGGCAAGTGCGCACCTCCGGCGGCCCCCAGGCAGGCGTCTCCGTGGGAGAGCCTGTGGCGGGGCTGGAGGGCAGGCTGGGGACAGGCAGCCTGGCTGAGCTGTCCCGGCCGCGAGAACGACCCAGCCACAGTCCCCGCCCTTGCGTGGTGGGGACAGCCACACTCTGTGCGGGGCCTGGATTTCTGGCCCACAAGTGCGGGGTGTCACAGACTGATGGTGCCCTGAGTGCTGGGGCCACTCGTTACGCAGCAGTTGGTCACCAGACCCCCACCCTCTCTGGAGACAGCGTCTGAGCCTCCTGCGGTGGTGAGAGGATCCTGGGACGCCCCCACACCCTCATGCTTCCTGTGTGACTGCACACGTGCCCAGCGCAGGGTAGCCCCGTGCGGGGCTGTCCATGAAGGGAGGCTGGCAGCCCTGGGCTCTACCCAGGACACGAGGCTGTGCCGTGCCACGGCCATGAAGGGGGTCTCCCTGCCTGAAACCCGTGGCCATCCTGACCCCGGTCTCCAACGCTGGCTGGGGATGGTGGTGGGGCCCAGGCCTGGCCCCTTTCCCTGCCCAGGCTGGGAAGGGAGCCCTGCCGGACACACCGGAAGTCCTTGCCGTTGTAGAAGTCCCAGGCTGATGCGTGGCACACCACCTGGCGCCCATCAGTGGGCTTCTCCAGCATCGACTTGTTCCAGAACTCGGGTGGCACAGGAAGCAACCCCAAGGAGGTGAAGAAATCATCAGCTTCCTTGAACATCCTCTGGGGTGTCCAGCCCTGCAAGCAGAGGGAGTTGTGCCCAACCTGGGGGCGCAAGTGGTCTG